AGTGTTTAAGCGATATTTTTTAACATTGTTATAAAGCGGGAGGTTTGGCATGCCATGAAATCAGGTTCAACCCACCATTTTTTCTTAAAATGTCCAGTACCAAGTAAGGAATATGGCAGTTGTTATCAAATAGTTCGTTTCTATGTATGTTGGCGTTTGTTTTTGTTTCACTTCGGTGTTCCTGTTGTTCATTTGTTTTCCTCTTATAGTTGATGTGTTTCCCTCGGTTTTGGTTTGTAACCCGGATTTGTTTTCTCTCAATCCATCTATGACTTTTGAACACCGGTATACTACTGTTGCCTTTATTTATAAAACTTATACACGATGCTTATAACCACCAAACATAGATCAAGTTTGAATTTTGGTGGCATCACTTTCGCCGTTCTTGAGTTATGTCCCTTTGTAAATTGAAAAATTGCAGAATTTGCCGTATATTTTCATGCGGGGGCATCTGCGTCCCATGGACACATTCTTCATTTATTTTTTGTTTCTAATTGGTATTTACCCCTAATAACATTCTGTTCCTATGAAAGAGAGTCAGTGAAATCCGAGTTACGAACGACAAAAGAGTGTTTATTCATGAAGATAAAACAAGGTTTTATGTTGTGATTGTTGGGTACAAGATTCCTTTCATTGATGCAACTAATAAAGTTCGACTGTTTACAGCAGACGTCACGGTAAATGAAAGGCTCGAAAAGTTCGAAATACATTTACTATCCAATGGAAAGGTCCTGGATGATATATGCAAAGATTTCAAAGGAATAAAAATGATTCCAAATGGCGACAGAAACATCGTAGAATTTTCTGGAACTGCTTGGATTGTAGCAGTTGCAAAACAGCAAATGAATGACGCCCTTCAGAAAGTAGCAGAAGTACCGATTTGTGGATCTTCGCCTGAAAAGATAGCGTTTCTTCAAACGCCTGTTGTAAAATTAGAATTGGATAATCTACTGACACAGACGGACGACTTCACACTAAGATCTATGACAAACGGGATGATTTCAACTTCCCAATTATCAATTTCCCATTTCGCTGCAGTACCATACCCTCTGCTCCGTCGTATGGTGTGTACATATCTCAATTGATACGTTATGCTCGTACATGTTCACACTATACTGACTTCATATACAGGAGTGTGCTCCTTACGTAGAAACTGCTTCAACAGAGGTATGAGGAGGAAAGATTAAAAATGACACTCCGTAAATTTTATGGACACCATCACGAATTGGTTGATCTATACGATAATCTACTGAAGGAAAATTGAATTCTTTATGCATGGAAATCAAAAAAAGGACAACACATTAGTGATGTATTCTTTGCAGAAAACTTCGGCTCAGAGTGCAACACATTTAGTCGAAGACTCATTAGTGGGAGTTTCCATTGATGTTGATACACAACCTGATAAAAAAGAGAAGAATAAGGAGGTAGAGCATATCAGAAAAAGAAAGGTGGCCATGTCAATATTGCGACAACTGACAATAACAAAATAATAATATTCGCAATTCCGAAAAACAATGCAATAGTGATTGAAGAGCACGTCAAAATATTCCACAAATATCCGGACAAGAAGGTACGTGGTACAACAAATATCAGCACAAAAAAAAGTCAGACAATAACAACAACAATAGTCGGCAATATAACCGATCTTGATAACGACGTGATTGTATGCAGTTCTAGTAGATCACTTGAACTCAGTTGTGGTGTTGTACATAACATCGTAGATGTAAATTGATATAAACAAGTCTAAATTGAAAACAACGTTCAAACCTATGATTGCGTTGAATAAAAACCGCAATTTGTATACGTGTGCATGCAAAACAAATTTCTTGGTAGAGTGGTCTAAATACAGCATAAACAACATTTTCCAAAAGACCAAAAAAGTGAAAAAGTATATTTAAACAAAACGCATTTGACTAGCAGGTCGAACAACGGATGTTCTTAAACCCTGCTGACTGCCATGGCGATTGCCAAATAAACAGATCACCAGATGTAACAAAATTGATCTTAACTATTAATTTAATACCAAACAGAAAACAATAAACTTGCGGAAAAGATGGTATACCGCAAAATGAGGTGCAGAAATTTGTACACCATATCCGGATTTCGACAATTAATGTCTCTTCAGTGATGTTAGGAATCGAAACGGTATTTGGAAGGCCATATAATTTTACTCAATAAATTGATATATATATATATATATATATAAACTATCGTACCAATTTTTGAGTTCACGCCACTTGTTTCTGGTATCATCAGATACGAAAACACGAATAACAATACAAAAGAAATTAATAGGAATTCAACATGGTCTGTGCATAACATATGTGTAGTTATAATTTTTTTTCTTACATAAGACAATTTTTACACAACCTATATGTTTTACTGGTTTTTCATTTGGTGTGGGGTTCACTTTCAATGGAGAATATATGTTGTTAAATACGTAATTGCTGAATACGTATAACTTATTTTAAAATACATGAAAGTTTTCTTTTTTCAGCTGGTGTTGAAATCCAAAAAGAATGCAAGGATAACCTTTCAAAGAAGCCAAACAAGCAACTTGATGAAGATGAAGTTTTTGTAGCTCTGCGGGCAAGCTGAAAGGCAAACTGGTCGCCCATGTAGGAAGTAAATCATTGGCAAATGATCATGAGGAAGAAAACAAATCTCTTGTGAGAGTTGTGCAGGAGGCCATGAGAAAGACACAAGAAAAGAATTTTACAAGCTTTGCGATACCTGCATTATACACAGGTCATTCTGGGTTTCCCGTTAAACAAGTCACAGAGTGGATAGTGGAGGCCATTGACAACTTTCTTCAATCACATGGTAAACAGACTAGCCTTCAGAACATTTATCTCTGTGATATCCAGAAGACTACTGTGGACAGTTTTGTAACGACTTTAAGAAAGTATTATAGCCTAACTTATGAGAGATGAAATTTATTCTTTATGATAATTTTGATTGAAATAAAATGCAATTTGAATTGTTTATATAACCATAAACGTGAACATGTTTGGAAAAGATATTAGCATTTTCTTCTGATTATTTTAGGTAAAAGTATAGTATGAGCAAAATAATACCGACCATTTCAACAAAATAATGGGAAATATTTATTTATCATTGCATTTTGCAACCTTAACATTATTGCCGAGTTAATTTTTATGGCTAGTCTCAACTGACAGCCTTTTTTAAAATAAAATTTATGGTAGCTCTTCTTATTTGCAGCATATTGATTCTAAAACAGTGGCGTTACGGCTTACAAAAACACATTTTTCGAACTAAATATCATATGAAATAAGTTTTTTTTAATAAGGCTTTAAAGTCAGAAAAAATTGTATCATATTAAAAGTGATGATTATGTGGCTAACACAAATAGAAACCGTAGTCATATATTTTTAAATTCACATCTGATAAATTTTAATTGGACAATGACATCACCGAATTAAACTTATCACCAAGTTTGTACTTACATGAGCAATACGACGGGTGCCACACTTGAAGCAGGATCTGCTTTCCCTTACGGAGCACCTGAGATTATCTCCGGTTTTTTTGGTGGGGTTCGTGTTATTCAGTCGTTGATTTTCTATGTTGTGTTTTGTGAATTGCTGTTTGTCGTTTGGTTGTTTTTCGTTCTTTTTTTACCATGACGTTGTCAGTTTGCCATCGACTTATGAGTTTGAATATCGCTTTGGTATCTTTCGCCTCTCTTTAACAATTGGGCTTCGGTTTTCTTGGTTGTGCAAACGTTTTTTTTAAATAAGGGCTTCTGCAAAACGACGTGGATTTTGTGTCAAATATTCCAATAAACAAAAACGTAAATAGCACGAACATAAGTTTCATAAATAGAAACGAAGTCAAAATGTCATAATTGTCTTGACCTTCTTTTAGGTGTGATTACTTACATGAATGCTAAATGTTTCATGACATACACGTCACTATGACATAACGTAAAAGATCTACCCAAATCTTCAAAAATTTTGAAGAACAAAAACCATAAAGATACTTTTTTAAAACAACTGACGAAATTCCCACATAAGCAAGGTCCATGAAAATGAGGCGGAATTAAACAACGTTTTTATTTGTATTCAATCCTCCCTCTGTTAATATTGACCAGTGGAAAAAAAAGATGTGTAGATGAATATGCAATAAAAATCCGTTCAGAAAACTAGACAAAGACGACCCTTCCTCCTATGCACGAACGAATAGTTCCACAAACATTAGATTTAGCTAACAGTGGTGTTGCAGTACAACTTCAAATGGTTGTCTGTATGATAGATTTCGTTGCACCGCCATTACTATGATTTATTTGATAATGAACAACATTTTAGTTGTTGTTCCTTTCAAGTTCCGTAGGTCAAGACAAGAAGTAAAACTGTGAATGTTAGTGATACAACAAAAGCAGTTAGCCGGACACACCATGTACCCTGCATGCCTTATATTACAAAAACGGACAAATTTCAACAACCCATCATTTGTGACAATTTCAAAGAAAATCAATATCCTTATACTATGCACATCTTTCTCTTTCATATATGTCCTATCATCCTACATAATATAAAGTTCTAGCTTCAGAACTGTTGGAGGACAAACTATGTACCATATATAGGACGGACAGTCGGACAGGGGTTAAAAACTATGCCCGCAACATTATGTTACGGAGGCATAAAAACCTGACTATATGATATGTCTTTTGTGGATCAGTGATGTAAACTTTGCACATTTCTGTATGAATTTAAAAAAACCGAAGTCTAAGTAAATGGGGATCTCAAAATGATCATGCTTAAAGCAGGATTTTGCTTAAAGCAGGATTTGACCAGGTTTGTCTATTAAGTTTTAAATAGTCTTTGTGGGAATTATTTTTGTTTGCCATCATCTATACTGAGCTTTTTGAATGGTGAGCTAATTTTATCATCATGGTTGACACCCAGACGCCGTGAGAAATGTTTTATTTTGTTGTTTTTTGGTGTTGAACGTTTGTATTGTTTATTCATCTAAAACAAAAATATATTTGAAATGATTTTATTTGTAGTAGAATACTGAAGAACTGATACATACAATATGGAAACCGATAATGTTGAAAAATAATAAATTTTTATCCAAAATAAAAATAAAACAAAAATGAGTCAATTTTTGTGCACACGACGCGTGGTTCTGGCATAAATTTCATTAGGTATGGTCGGCCAAAGATATAGATCCCTCGAGTACAAATAAAATCCAGTGGGACTAACTAGAACGATCAGTCGATACCTTTCTAAGTCAGCTTTGCCTGAAAGAATTTTAACTTTTATTTTTCTTACATACACTTAATATATGAATTTCAAATTTACAGACGAAATTTATCATTTAAATCTTGCCAGTACCAGCGCATTGGCAGACAACAAACAGATCTTTAGTTTTTTATTATGTTTGTTAGGCAAAAAAAGCTGAACATTGTAATATTGTATTTGGCATTATTAATAACTGCATTGCGATAACTAAAAAGCTAATTGCATTCATTTTTTTTAGGACTTTGAGGGTCATATATTTACAAATTGTTATCAATATTTGGAGGTCCTTAAGCTAATGTCGAAATGTTGAAATTTGTTTTTAATCTTTATTGTAATTCAAGACAAACAAGGTAATGGTTATTTGTGATATATGTCATGCGATTTGATCTTTCTTTATTGGGTGTTTGTTGGGCAACAAAAGCTTAACCTTTTTTGCATTCCACCGAAAACCATTATAAAATAAACGGCCGTAATATTGTATGTGGCATTATTCATTTGTTTTATTTTGAAAACTTATTTCATTCTAATTTCTTTTGGACCTTAATGTTCATATATGTACAAATTAAGACTATTAAGAATATATGGAAGTGCTTAAGCTTATGTCGATGCCAAAAAGGATCAGCCGACTTTATTGTAAATTAAGATAACCACAGTCAGGTAATGGTTATGAACTTGTGATTAATGTCATGCGTTTTGATCTTAGTTTTATTTGGATAGCTCTCGGAAAAAAAAAGCTTCGAAAACCATTTTAAAATAAACGGCTGTAATTTTGAATGCGACATTATTAATAAGAGCATTGATTAAACAAAAAGCTAATTTCATTCATATTTCTTCGGGACCTTTTGGGCAATATATTATATACACATTAAGACTATAATGAATACGTGGATGTGCTTTAGCAACTGTCGATGCCAAAAAGGATCAGCCGATATAATTTTCTGTTAATCTTTATTGTATATCAAGATAAATACAGCCAGGAAATGGTTACTTCTGATTAATGTCCTGCAAATTGATCTTAGTTCTTTTTTGGGTGTTTGATGGACAACAAAAACTAAACTTTTCTTGCGTTCCTCCGAAAACCATTTTAAAAATAAACGGCTGTAACATTGCGTGTGACATTACCAATTACTGCACAAATTAGACAAAAAGCTTATTTCTATCATATATCTTTGGGACCTTTTGGGCAATATATATATATACAAATAAAAACTATAATGAAAATGTGGAGGTGCTTTAACTACTGTCGATACCAAAATGGATCAACGGATTAAATTTGCTGTTTATCTATTGTATAACAAGACATATAAAGTCTTCAGTTTTTTCACAAAGTTGTCAACAGCACTTGGGTTCTTATCACACAGATAAATCTTTTGAATGCTTGTTTTACTTCCAGTGCGCTTCAGATACATACTTAAAGCCTCCACGATCCAGTCAGTAGATTTTGTTACCGGATATTCATTATTTCCACAACATAATGCTGGCATGGCAATACTCTTACTTTTCTTTTCTTCTGCTTTTTCTAGAGATGAAGTAATTAGCTTGATGAAATTCTTCTTTCCATCATTCTCATTAGATTCTTTGACATTTTCCCATTTTTCACCAGGTATGTGGACAACCATTCTAAAGTTGGTGAGTTTCCCAGATGAACTGCAAAATACCTCGTCTTTATCCAATTCCTTCATTGGTTTTGATTGAAGGTAGGTGTTACATTCCAACTTTATTTTGTCTCCGCCTGTCAAGAAGATTAAAAACGTACCTTTAAGTTTATATTAAAAAAAATATTCCGGAAAGTTTAAATTGGTTTATGGTTCTGGTATTTTGATGGGGGAATGCAACCAGTTCTATAGTTATCATACTTAAAAATAATTGAAATTCAACTTTAAGTTTCTAGATTTTAGAAATAATTTAAAATGGATTTTTGCTATTTACACGCGTCATTTAAGAGTAAGAGCAAATGCTGATCGGTTCATAGACGGGATAATGTGTCGACACAGGGTAAAATGTTTGCCTGTGAATTGTAGCATTTTTTTTGTAATATCAATATCATTAGACAATTCAACTGTTAAAATCGTATACATAATCTTCAATTAAGTACCTTTTTGTACAAGGTCATGGCCTACACCAATACCCAGTTTCAAATTTTTGTCAGAGCTGCACACAAGGACATTTGAATCAAGATCTGTAATATCACCGAACAATGTTGTTATAGTTTGACCTGTCTCAGTACAGAAATGTGCTGTACAACGGACACTTCCATGGGGATATCTGACAAATAATTTGATATGATCTGCGATAGCCTCTACAGTTGACTGTGGTATGGCGTAAATTATAATTCTACTGTCAGATATTCGAACTTCTACTGTATTGCCTTTCTTTTTTCTGACTTCTTGCAACTCCTTGTCAAGTTCTCCAGGTGGTGTTTCTTTTCCAACGTCAACTTTTGCTATTGACGCTTTCACAGTTTTGACTGCTTTTTCACCTTCTGTTTTAGAAAACGCGTAAATAATAATTTTTTTATCTTTTTCAAATTCAACTGCACATTTTATACCTCTGTTTCTAAATTCCTTTTCTAATTCTTTCTGAACTGGTTTTCTCTGAAAGAATTGAAATCTTTCATTTTCAATATCTTTGACAACGAGAGTTACTTTTGTTTTTAGTGTATCAAAAATTTTCTGCTTAGCTGATGCTACAATTGCTGCAGTTCCTGAATATTCAATATTACCGTTTGCAAAATCTGGAACAATTTTAATGGATGTGTATTCGTTTCTTATACTTTCCATTACATTTCCTACTGATAACAAACGTATTTCGTGATTTTCTAACCTTTCCCGGACTGTGACGGAGTCTGTAAGGAGGTTGATGTGATTTACCAAAGATTTATAAGGAATCCGGTAGCCAACTACTACTATGCTAAATCTGTTTCCATTGATAGTTATCATAGCTTTTTCCCTGTCCTGACCATCAACTGGATGAACGCTTTTCTTGATTAAGTCCCATTGGTTTGGATCTATTATATATTCTTTAACTAGTAATGTTTCAAAGAACTGTAATACTTCTCTTTCAATATGTATACCCCATACTCTAGCTTTCTTCTGAAAATCTTTCATATCTGAAGTAAGGTTCGAAGCTATTTGTAGAGAACGCTTATCTGGTTTCACAGAAGACCAGTCTATTTTAGCTGAGAATATGCTTAAGCGAGTTTCTAGAACATCTTTGCTAATATTTGAAGCTGTAATGAAAGCTAATTTGTTTTCATCTAATTTAGAAATCACTTTGACTTTGGGAGCAATTTGTCCTTTTGGATAATGAGCTTTTACATTTATGTCGTGATCCTTCAGCTTGTGTCGTCTGATGCAAACATCCTTAACAGCTGTAACGAATTTGTAAAATCATAATGTTTATATATATATGTATATAATAGACCACAACACTACTTGGTCTAGGGAAGATAGACTCGCTCGGGGAAAAATTAAAAACTTTGGCACCAAATGGGATCAATGAAAAGGTGTAGTTCTAATTCGAGCAGTACTTTTCATTTGGGTTATATTACATATTAATACGCAGTCTCTGTTGCTATTCTTTAACCTTTGTCAACTCTAATATTCTAGAATTATACCAGTTTAAATCGCAGGGTGCTATTCATTTGAGATGTATAAGTACGAAGCCACGTTCAATTACTTAACCTTTGTCAAAATTATTTTTTTAATCATTATCAAACTGCTATTTTTCTGGGATGTGTAAATACGCAGCCTCTGTTGTAATTACTTTACCGTCGTCAAATTTGAAATTTGAGTATTATACCAGCTCAAATCGGTCAGTGCTGTTCATTGGGAATGTATTTCTTAGCAGTCTTTTTTGTAATATCTTACCTTTCGTTACCTGTGAAATTTTAGAAATGTACCAGTTCATATCGCACATTACTATTTTTGTTAGAAGCATATCTAAGCAGTTTCTGTTGTAAATACCTAACCTACGCCTTTTTTAAAATTTTAGGTTGCACTTTGTAAATACAGCTGTTTCTCAAACCACGCCTCTTTTGGGGAGATATATAATATTCATAGATATGTTAATTTGATAATGTACTGGTTCCCATTTATGATCTCTGTGTTTCATCTCATAGAGACATCACTTGGGAATGTAACCAGTTCAGAAAAACATGGTAGCGCCTAAATTTTAATTCTTAGGAGGTCCAAATATAAAGGTAAGGGTTGTATAGCATTTTAGTATAAGTTTAAACTCATAGAAGTTCAGGGCATATAAATGTTGAAAATATGCCGCACAGCCCTATATTTTGACCTTTGAATAAAATAGTAGTGCATATAAACTTTCCGTTCTGGGATATTATTTTTCACGAAACTTCATAGTAAAAGTGTCACAGTTTTAGCCGCAAGGGGAGTTCCTATGGGAAATTGCATTGTCTATATTTACAGAATTGCAACCTATATAGGGTTAAAAAATAGAAGATACAGAATTTCACAAAATCTGGTTTATCGCAGAGATTTTACTCAAATATGAAGTTTTATAAATATTTCATGAAGATTGAGAAATCCTGAGCCTTAACTATGATGACTCAGCATAAATTCACAGTTTACAGTATGCATGGTTTACTTAAGGCCCTGAATTCAAAATAAATTCATAATATATGCCTATTTGTGATTTAAATTGTTAAGAAGTGCTTATATTTACTCTTCGCAGTCATTGCAACTCATTGATCCTTCCTAAATAATTTTGTTGGGTTATTTTTATCCTGTCGATAACCCAAAAGTAAGCCGTAACACTTAAATGTGTTTTTTTGTGACCGCGGCATTAAAAAGTACAAGCTAGAATTACAAAAAGACCTCAATAAAACTTACAATAGTGTGTTCTATCCTAAATATATACTAAATATTCCACCTTGCTAAAAACAGGGAAAATATTTAGGAAATGTGAGGCCCCAAGGGGCAAAAAACAGAAAAAAATGCCTACCCTGGGTCATAAAACAGATAATTTAACTTGTAAATGCTATGCTTTTATTATTTTCAAGGTCTTTTGTAAACAAAACAATAACTGTGCTGGAAAGTTATGCAAAAATAAAATGTAAGCAGTCATTTCTATCAAGCTTTTATTGAATTTATGCACCAGACTGATATCTTCTTAAATACAATTTTGCAAATATGGCTTTGTTTAGACACTTCTAGTTCATACATTAACTAACTTATGTTAGTTATATGGTTAGAGATGATACTGTTGTGACAAGAATTCTTAACTGACCATTTGAGACAGAAATTGTGAACTTTCATTGACAAATAGGCATACAGTAAGATGTGGATTGGAGACACAGGCAGGATTGGATACTTTGTATAATCTTGAATGTTGGAATGTTTAACTGCTAAACAATACATTTATAGTATTCTAAAATGCTTTCAATTTGTTATCAGAATAGTGTCAAACATGTTTTAGACATTTCATGTCAGAAAACATGCACATAGGGTAAGCTGGCAATAATTAAAGTCTTGTTTTCAAATTCTTTAAAAAACTGAAACAGGGGTAGGGGTGTAAAATGTACTGTAAAAGGAAACTTAGAGTATATGCAGTGATTTCCTTAAGGCTATAATTCTGATAAATAAATATTGTTGTGAGAAAAAATGTTTTTAGAAGGTTTTCTATTTGAATAAATGTTTGTATAGGTTGCACTTTGTAAATACAGCTGTTTCTCAAACCACGCCTCTTTTGGGGAGTTATATAATATTCATAGATATGTTAATTTGATAATGTACTGGTTCCCATTTATGATCTCTGTGTTTCATCTCATAGAGACATCACTTGGGAATGTAACCAGTACAGAAAAACATGGTAGCGCCTAAATTTTAATTCTTAGGAGGTCCAAATATGAAGGTAATGGTTGCATAGCATTTTAGTATAAGTTTAAACTCATAGAAGTTCAGGGCATATAAATGTTGAAAATATGCCGCACAGCCCTATATTTTGACCTTTGAATAAAATAGTAGTGCATACAAACTTTCCGTTCTGGGATATTATTTTTCACGAAACTTCATAGTAAAAGTGTCACAGTTTTAGCCGCAAGGGGAGTTCCTATGGGAAATTGCATTGTCTATATTTACAGAATTGCAACCTATAGAATTGTACAATCGTTGTTACTGTATAAAGTTAAAGATAGTTATATTTAAATCAGAATAGATCGATATGATTCATTTCACATCATAATCATACTGATGAAGGATATCTGTTATCCCAAATATTTATAGATAATTACATTTAATGTTTCCTTTTTTTAATATTGGTGTTGTTTTGTACACTTTTTAGACGTTTATATATATATATATATTAATGAAATGTTAAAACAAGTCGTGTACAGATTCGTATATTCATAAAAAACACAAAAAATCAGGTTCTACTTATATATGAAAACATTTGTTGATATCTTTTTCCTGATTTGTATTCCATTTTGGCTGAAAGACGTTTATTTTCATTGTGAAAAATAGTATCACTAATAGAAAAGTATCGGTTAAACTTATCTAATATTATCGTAGATTATTTTCAGATCAACCATACCGTAAGTTATTTTATTATTGTATTTTAATCAATAGCAATGAAAGTTCAATTTACAAGAACGTACATGAGTCTACAATCTAAAGAAACGCCTGAAATAATCGAATATTATAGGCTGAATCTTACCACATATACATAAAACCTAGTGTACTAGTTTACTGCTTTCCAATTAATTGTACAAGTCATATATGACTTTTAAAATGAGTATAGTGATAAGTTGTAACTCTTTACTTTATCCCAATAAGTTAAGCGGTGTTGCAAATGTTAAATTCACTCGAAAAATGTGCTCATTTAGGATTATTGTAACGTATGAAGGGAATTGGCAAACTCAACGCTGGCTGAATCAATTATTTACGATTTAGAATACCCAGCACCACAAGTATAAAATAAGCGATAAAATTAACATGAAATATTTCGCTTCTTTGCCACTGATTTTAACATATTTTTAAAACTATATTGAAGGCAATAACAACTTACCTTGAGAATTTGTAAAAACTACAATACACCATCCTTCATCAATATTGATATCAATTTCCTTGACTATACTTCCTCCAGAGAGATCCTTGTTACTGAAATAATCCCTTACATCATTTTCTGTTATTTTACTTTCACAGAAACCGTCGATTAGAATACTGCAAGTCTCTCCATCTGTCGTCGACGACATGGCTTTTGTTATAAACGAAAAAAATATTGAATTGTTAGAGGTTAATATCAAGAAAAAGTTATGGACTTTTAATTTTTTTTTTATTTGACCGGTTACTTATAATTATCTTATATTTGTTTTGTATGGAGATTCAGTTTTTGTGTATTTACTGTCATTACACGACGCACAATTCGATGAGCTCTATTCATTACTTTTAAGACTCGCTCAATTTAGGGCCTGTCATACTGTATTGACATTTTTGGTTGCCTGTCTATTGTAAAAGACGGTGTCTTGACATATAGATGTCTTCATGTTTTTTTTTTTACATCAGGTTGCTCTCTGTTAGACGTACTTCACATCTCGATTTATCAATATCATAAATACAAACGTTTAAAAAAAAACGTAAAATAAACGGATAGAGAAAAAAATGCAAAATAAAGGTTGCTGCTGCTCGTTATAAATTAAAACAACAAGTAAAACTCTTTGAGAAAAGATAAAGAGATACAAAGGGAGCAATCAAAAATCAGAGGTAAAAGTAGGACAGTTAACATCATTGAAACATGAACCAGGCAAAACGACGCAGAAGAATAGTAAAAAAACTAAACTAAACAGAAGCCTGAAGATTGAGTTTCACTAACCCAATCAAGTAAATCCTGACAGGTAACAGCAAATAGCTCTGGAAAACATATCAACTTGGAAATTTATACTTGCTCTGCATGCTGGATTTTACTACAGAAATACGTAAAGTTTACAATAGGAAAATTGTAGACAACGATTTTGTTGTTAAGTTTCATTTCAAACTGTAAATTTCTAGGTATATTTCAAAGCATGAGGTAGACCTTGTTGTAATTGTGGTATCTTTCATCTTTAGTTAATCTATTTGGATTTTTTTTATTAAACTACTCTACAACCATTTTAGTGAAAAGACATCCTCTACTTTAAAGTAATGAAGGTTATTTTAAGGATATATTATTCAGGTGTAAATTTGACCAACTTACTCACGAAATGAATAAAGCCAGAGGGACTTTATGTTAAAATGTGATAGAAATACCGAGTTTACACATATATAAAAACTCCTTAAAATATTACATTTATAACATATAGTAATAATATACATAAAACACAAATTACGCCAAGATCAATTTTTTTTAGCAACAATAACGAAATTAGTTCTCTTATGTAGGAATTCCTACACGTGGCGTCATAAAACGGGTCCATATATATGTATACTCTGTATGCAAATTAGGGGGGGGGGGGGGGGGGCCTTAAAATAAAATGCTAGAACTTTTCTTCAGAAACTTTGCCAAAATGTAGTTTATATAATATCATTTCTTTATAATATGATGAAAGTAATCACGGAGCCTTTTCATACTACGGGGTTGTGCAAAATTATACAGGGAAAAACCCAAGGTAAAAAAAAAGGGAAAAAAAAAGGAAAAAAAAACCACGTGAAGAATGCTCCTATAATGCGCATTCAGAAGAAAACAAATAATAAGTCACGGAGCTTCTTTACTTGCAACATAAAATAATAGTTTAATTTACGGTGCAGTCTAAATCTAAAATTAGATCATCTGAGTGATTTTCTCTAATGCGGGGGGGGGGGGGGATCTCTTATATGGCTTAGTTTGAAAAACAATTATGTCAAACATAAAATATTCTGTATTTGTAAAAACAGCCGTTATAATACGATACAAAAATTAAATTTGTCAATTTAGATGAAAATTTTCAAATGAAATGCATTCCTCTTTACAAATTTGCATTTTCCTTACAGATTTAGACACATTTCACAATCCAAGATGGCAATAGACACCAGCAACACCAAGTTTGTGATAGAACCATGGTATTTTGAAATAATAGCATTAATAGACATTAAATTGTGTTAGCCGTTTCAATCTTATGGACTTATAAAGCCTGCCCTGCAAATAAAACGAATAAGTCGGCGAGAAGATGGACACAGTTCGTTTCTGAAGTAATGTCGTTTATAAGTCCAAGAAAAAAATCAAACGCCACTAGAAATAACAAGTATCAAACAAAAGATGCATAAAATATGGTAAGTTGATAATTTAAAATAAATAGCCACTTAATACGTAAAAAATCTTACAGAAACAACCAAACTTACCATTTTCGTGATTGATATCATCACCATAATCTGAACTGAAATCTGAAGAAGCAAGAAATGCATGAACTTTTGTATAACCCGTTTGTTTGTTACAATAACCAATACATATAATGCTTACATGTTTGCATTGCAAACTTCTTTCAACAGAATAATAAAAGTATCTAAATCGTGCTCAATTGTTTTCTGTGTAGATATTCCTGTTAATCCTAATAACAAAATACACCCACTCGACTTTTGTTCTTTGCACGAGATACTCATAAATTTATAATCATATTTCTCCCTTTTCGATTTGGAATAAATGCATATATAAAATTTCACAGATTTCTGTACCTTATACGATCTTATACAGTGGTCATATTGGAAAACTGACATAATTAATTTTTTATAAAAATGACACATTTTCGCTATATGACTATTATAATTGTTTCCGTGTATTTTCTATATGTTTCCGTTTTGTCAATATAACGGAACTATAACACCTGTCATACAAATGGGAGGTCTAGCTAGCTATAGAACCAGGTATTACCAACCATTTCTTCGGAAAATGCCTGTACCAAGTCACGAATATGACAGTTGTTTTTCACTCGTTCCGTTGGTTGATAAAGTTTTATTTTGTCAGTTTTGATGGACTTCCCCCTTTTTGAATTTACCTTGGACTTCGGTATTTTTTTAACCTTTTTTTATAGGAAAGAGTAAAACATTTACAGACCCCATTCTTCTTCAGAATCTGTAAGTTCTTTTTCTTCACCGAATAAATCTAAAAATAAATAAATATCAAGACTGTTGACGTATGTATACATGTACTCAACATCTTTAATTCATATACAATGTATATGATATTACATATAGACATATCAAAATACTTGTCTATTCATGAAGTATCAGACTTAACAATATTGTAAACTTAAAAATGTTTACAAATTTATAAAAAGAGGGGTGAGGGTGTTCCATTTAATTAAGCTGGTGTTCCCATATAAAACTGAAATTTCGAACTTCATTTTAAACTCACAAGTTCCTTAAACATGTCACAGAAGCTACGAAAAAATGTAAACAAGCGTTTAAAAAGTCCTTAAAAGAAAGTTTGCATTTGGAGACCAGGCTACCATCCATGAACTGTACGAAAAGTACAGATAAGACCCCGATAAAGCCTGGCTCGATCTTCACACTTTCTGTTATAAATAGATTTTTTGGCCAAAGTCATATCCTGTAGGGTTGTAGTGTCGAACAACGTAGCACATATGGTAAATTCGTCTTATTTCAGGCAATGATTTTTTATTAGGGGAGGGGGTGGGGTCGGGTGATACTGACTTAATTAATGCACATTAGTTAATAGACTCTTTCACTTTCACACATTTGATGATTAATTGTAATGCTTACCGTTTTCCTCAACAATATCTGTCTCCTCTTCTGGATTGCCTAAATATATACATAAATGAAATATCATTTAATATATATAATATATAGATATAAGAAGATGTGGGTATGAGTGCCAATGAGACAACTCTCCATGGAAGTGAAAATTTATAAAAGTAAACCATTATAGGTCAAAGTACGGTCTTCAACACGGAGCCTTGGCTCACACCGAACAGTAAGCTATAAAGGGCCCCAAAAAATTACTAGTGTAAAACCATTCAAACGGGAAAACCAACGGTCTAATCTATATAAAAAACGAGAAACGAGAAACACTTCAAACGACAACTACTGAACATCAGATTCCTGACTTAGGACAGGTGCAAACAAATGCAGCGGGTTTAAACGTTTTAATGGTACCAAACCTTCACCCTTTTTCTGAAACAATAGTGTAACATCACAACATAGAAAGACACACTATAAAATATCAACTGAAATAGTTTAACTCAATCAAAGGACATATTAACACCAGTGAACATACACTGAACAAATAAATTTGACCTATGATACAATGTAAATATAAAATAAATGAACTAAGGGAAGAATAATAAAAGTAACATGTTATACCGCTATGAAATGTTAAACAATTTAAGGAAAACAATCTGCTCGAACAAAAATATCAGCCATTTGCAATTACTTTAAACACATGTAAATGAAAGTTATTTTGTTGTTAGGTATACGTGTACAGTTCAAATAGAGAAAGGAAATATTTTTACAAAATAAATAATTTTGATGTTCATAGTACTAAGTGAAAATTTATAGTAATACCAAACACTTATCAAAGCTGGTATATAGACCAGATATAACCCTGAATAACATTAAATAACTAAAAAGCATTACAATTAGTATCAACAGGTCAAATAAACAAGAAAGTACGATTTGAGAGTACTCGCAGTTACTGACAGCTAGATAAAAGCCAAAAACAATTAATAATAAAAAAAATCATGCATTAGAGACTAAAATCAACTAAAACACATCCAGGGATTTAGTATTTTAACGTCATGGACAGTCAAAGAAGACATGACTTGTGCAATGCCAAAAATAAATTTATCGACAGGCAGTAGGATGGTTAGTTTAACCTCTTTATAGATCAAAATGAACGTGGGTGTGTCTTTATACATCCCGTTTGAAAAGAATACAAAGTTAATAAAGCTTAAATACTTGATTCTGTAAACCAAAAATATCTTAAAAATCATTTAATTGTGAACAAATCTTTTATTGGCACGAAGGACAATATTTACTTTGACCATGGACAACTGATATTGTACGAGATTAATCTTTTGGTTAAATGTTACTTTTTTTTTAAAATATATTATGTCAAACAGATTTGCTTTTTGTGAATTAACACACTAGTGCAAGTGAAATGTCTGTGGTTGAATATTAGTAAATCAATTTTATATTTTTAATTGGACGAAATTCTTTATATTTATGTTAAATACATAAATTGCATGAAATTAAACAAGAAAAATTAACACGAAATATTCTTGCAATTAGAAATTGTTAATTATTTTTTTTATCATCTATTATTATTTTTTTTAATGAATCATTTACATTAAATATAATTTTACCTGTTACACAGTTCAATGATTCAATCTTAACTTCTTCTGTGAAATGTTTCTTATTCAGCAGAATGTGAATATAGACATCCGAATCTTTAATGCTTTGTAAAGATTTTAATCTACCATTGCCCATACTGGTAAATCGTATTTCTGTAACATCACCAGAGGATTTACCCTTAAGAACAGCAGACACCCGTAAAGAAGAATCATTTATAATATTCTCCTTGAAATCTTTCAAGGTTACTTGAAGAATTTTATTCCCTCTCGTATTTACTAGTACTATTTCTGTTTTTGGTGGATATGCATTTGTAGCTGAAATTTCAGCATGATGTTTAATCATTTTCTGAAGATCTTTTCCTTTTAGTATGCGTAAGTCATCTCTTGTGGTTACATTTGAAAAACCAATTTGGCTACCAACTCTAGGAGTTTCATCGTATTTGGCTTGTATCAAATCTTCAAATCTTTGGTTTATAACTGGAGTAAGGTTAAGAAATCCTGCTGAATTCTGAGAAAGACATGATTGCTCAAGGAAAATGTTTGCATCTGACAATCTATTCTTGAATTCTTCAAGTTCCTGTTTCTGGTTCGTCAGAACTGTTTCTTTATTTTTTGAAATCGTGCGGTTCGTCTCCAACAACTCATCCCTTCTCTTCTCTAACAACTTAATACTCTCGTTAAAAAAAGAACTAATTTCAAATTCCGCTGAAATAGTTTGCTTTGTGACATCATATGCTTCACTATCTATTCTCTTTTGGAGTCTCGTTATCTGAACTTGTTTTTCATTTAGCTTTTCTGCTTTTACGAGAAGACGGTCTCTTTCCTCTACAAACTGGTCTTTGATATCTGTTGGAGTATGTTCTGTCTTGTCAGAGTGATCAACCATCCAGCATGTGGCACACACAGCCTTTTTACAGCTATCCCCTGTACAGTACACTTCTAATGGTTTGTTTTTATGTCCATCTCTACTACATAGAACCTCATGTCGAAAATGAGATGGATCTTTTATTTCATTAATGCTTACAACTATGTGAGTTTTCCATTTTTTATTTCTTTCATGACTTTTGATGCAGCCGCCACATAAAAAGTTTTCACAATCGTGACACCAGAATTCGGCCTTGTTTTCATCGCACATGTCACACTCTACTTTTGATGACTGGCAAAACTTCGTGTAGAAGGAAACAAGATCTTTTCGGGTGAAATCAATCTGATATGTTTCCAATGATTCATCGGGTGTTTTAAATTTATCATGACATCTTGGGCACGTAAGGAGATTGTTTTTTAAAAGCTTCTTCAAACAGGTCGAACATAGAGTATGCAGGCATGGTAAAACTCTTGGTATATGGCTCTCTTCATCAAACTGTGTTTTACAATACAAACATTGAAGGCGTTTTTCTTCTAAACTTCCATAATCCCCTCCCTCTGCCATGTCTTACTAGAAGAAAGGATAATATTTTGATTGACTCAATAAAGAAACAAATATACTTTCACTATATGATACAAGTCATTAAAATAATTAAATTTCCTGTAATATAAAGTGTTTGTAGAAACTCATTATAGAAGTCGTTATATTTCATGTTTCTTTCTCCGAACCTTACTAAAAGTAATTTTTAAGCTTTATATAAGTAATGTAGTATTTTTGGAGGAAATGTGTTCGGATTATTTACTTTTCCATATATGCTTTAATAATTTGCTGCTAATATAATTTACATGCTCTTCGACATCGTACTTTATTTGGCCTTTTAACCTTTTTTTATTCGAGCGAAAACGAATTATAATGCTTGTTGTAAACTTCCATCTATTTGCTATTTCAAAATCCATTGAGAAAAATGTTATCTTATTTGTGCAGATGGTTTTATTAAATGTATTTTTAATCAATGATCTCAATACCCTTCAATTCAAAGTAGCCTGTCATATGGTTTAAAAATAGAAACATTAACTCAACAATATGTCAGACGTTAAAATCGTGTTTATTTAAGCATTTTATTAGACTATGTATCAAATTACCCCCAATTTATGCAATATGCACATTTCGAAAATGTTTTAGAAAATAAGATTTTGAAAAATGAGCAAGAAAGTTATAACGATAGATAGTATTTTTAAGTTATAAGTTGAAGTGTCAGCCAGGACAAATAGCAAAAGCAAATAATGGATTTCTAATTGTTTGTAAGGAACGAAACAATGTAATAACATATAATAATATCAACATTTAAACATGAAAATAAACGAAAAAACCTTGATGTAGTTACAAAATTAGTCAATAATAATTCTAGATTTCTATTTTAAATGTTACTTACCATAACCTACATGGACTCTGACTAAATCAAAATGCGGAAGTAAGATTATATTCGCTCCGTGCAAATCTGGGACCGTATTTATTTATAGATTAAAAAGATCCCATAGATTTTCAGAAAGTTTGTGGTAATCGGAAATCAATAATAACGAGAGCATCATTGCAGAAAGTATGTAAATTGTTTAAATTTGAACAAGTAAAATTACACTTGCAGGAAATGTTAGAAAAACAAATCTTTTTATGTATTATATTGTATTTGGGACGGCACAACAACTAAAGATAAAATCAACTATGTGATCTAGAAACATAAATTAGTATGACTTTGAAGGTGCTACAGCCGACAAACATAGATAAGATAAAAAGTCGATCGTTTAGGGAATAAACAAAATTTGTATCGCATTTCTGAAGAAACAAAACGTGCGCATGAGGAGTAACAGAAACATTATCAACGGTCGAAAAATGGTTGTCATGTGTTGTTTGTGGAAAAAAAAAACCCAACATCTGGCTTTGGCTTCCACTTGATGTGCAGAGCTCGTAAGATGAATATATAGTTTATGTTAAAAATTTACTAAGCACCGGCGTGTCTCATATAAGACAGAATCATGATTTTGGGGTGAATTTACGTATGTGCAGATGTAAACACACCTTTTGTCTTATTAGTTCTTTGGTCTATCATTTACCTGTAAGAAACCATTATGTTACCTTTAACTGTCCAATACTTTTAAGAATAACCCTCCTCTTTCTTAAAAATATTGGTCAGCTGAAGGTAGAATAATTGATTTTTACAGGTAAATGATAGTTCAAGGACTGAAAAAAATCCATCAATTCACACAATTTGAAAAAAAAAAATGACAACAAAAGAACAAATAACAATAACACTATTCTTTTTCTTAATAAGGTCACCTGTCAATACAATAATTTTATCACATCAAGACGGTTTCTTGAAGAAAAAAAAAACAACTTTTAAATTGATTTTAACACTGCCAGCGTCCATACTTATTTCCCAGCCATTTTTCTCATGTTTTGGGTTGTCTCCTTCAGCACCATTTGGTTTGACAATGCTCGTTGTAAGTTTCATTTCTGTACTTTTAGGTATTTCTTTTTGCACAAGATTTTGTATATCCTCGTCCGTCTTTGGATATAAAAATCGACATCTGTGTTACTCTCATTCTTCTTAACATCATTTTCAGCTACAATGAAAATGAAAAAAACATTATGCTTCTAACGCTTGATAGATCATGCCGCAGTACGAGGACTACAAAGAAATAACTTTATTATCACAATTAGGAGAAATCGTTCATCTGAATTAGATGTTTTACCAAGTTTTGATTTGCAATCCACAGATTGTTCCTTTGACAAAATACTGAGCTAATTAAGAATTTGATCAACAACCTAAACCTCAGCCTGTGTACAGAGTGCAAATCGAGAACTTGCTTCATGAACTAGGGGGCTACAACAGTTTTTATAAATTTCAGGTGTAGGCGTTGATTTGCAAGTTTTTTTTATTTGAAAAATATGATATTATTGCCTGTATAGGAATATAATGCAAAACTCCGCTTATCAACGACGATGAATATAAGATACAGAAAACAGGAATACGTTACCACAGTTAAAGAAATCAATTGTGTGTCCGATTCGCACTTTCTTCGAAGTGATCGTTTTTTTTTTAGAAACTGATGTAGTCTCTTGAAATTAGATAAACGTAGGTGCTAGATTTAATCATATGTTTGTTAAAAAAGTTTTTAGACGGTTTGTAATTGTGTTATATAAATTTGAACATAAAACCCTTTTTCTGCATTGAATTAATTGAAAAAGGGGGAGTTATTAATAAAGGTATTTTACTATATATAACGTAAAAATACGAACTACATTTGTTTCTTTCCATTGTATTTATAAAAGTTTCAAACACTTTAGATATCAAAAGTAAAGTTGATTGAATACAATAATTATAATAGAAAAACAAAGGATATGGGGTATCCATCTATGACACAAAAGCAGTACATGCACAGCAAAAAACACACAAAAGCAAAGCTTTAATTGCTGTTCTTCATCTCAAATTCATAATGAGGCCTACAACACGGAACAAAAAAACAAAAAAAAACTCTCACCTCACTGCAAGTTTAAGACGACCCCTAGTACCGGCTTGAGCGGAATTCTTTGCAAAAAGAATTTGGATAGACTTTTTAAGATGTAACACCACCTAATCGGGCCCGGTAAAAAAAGAACATACTGGAAAGTAGTACATATTTAAAACAAACTAGTTCCTACGCATATGTGTAAATATAAAACTAGTAATATTAATTAAGGTATGAGATGAAAGGTGAAGGACTGGTGATCCTGGTAGAACACATATTAACTGATAATTTTGAATAATACAAAAATGTATGAATAAATTCTACATCGGAAAACTGGCCTAAAATTAAGAGATTGATGTGGAGAGAAGTTATCACAAAAACAAGGATATGTTCACCTACAATATTGAAAGAAAAAAAAAGTGTTGTTTGCAAAGGGAAAACAAGGGACAAAAATATATTTATGTAACATGAAAGGTGGTATTCAGGTGGTCCGGTTTAGGTGAACAATAACTTTTTCAATACAACCGCTGAATCAGGGTTAATTTCTGTGAACGAGGAAGGAAAGAGGTGGCCTTCCGATGAACAACAAAATGATTTGAATTGCTTTCACGCTTGTTATCTCTTCGTGTGTGTTCGTTCATAATGTTTTATAGTGTTGTATTTGAAATAAGATCGACTGCGGTGCACTCGATATGGTTGAACCTTTTTCTGCAACGTGATACTGTCTTCTAGCTTCATGTGTTTTTTTTTGTTTTTTTTCTCATTCGCCTAATGAGAAGTAAAACCCAGAAGGAATAAGGAAGTAATAGGCGAGGACTACATTAAAAAAAACATATATAAAACATTATTATAGCTGCTACAACTAAATCCTCCTCGTTGTCCGCACTGCAATCGGATATATCTGAACACAGATTTGATTTTAATCCAAAGTTTGAAACAACACATTCACTATATTCGACATCGCTATGTTCGTGTCGGAAAGTATGTTGCATTAAGAATATACAACCATCGCCCTTCTCCATTTTTAGACACCAAATGCATGTAAAGGAATTCACGGAAAATATGTTGTGTAATCCTAGCGCACGCAAAAAGCAAAATACACATGAACTGTGTCTTCCTGTACATGTAGCTATACATGTTGTTTACCTTCAACTGTACTTTATTTTTTTTCTATTGTTTAAGTTGAGCTACTTTTTAAAGGGGCCAACATGTAGGATATAAAGTTTATCTAAAACAATTTACGCAATTGATGAAAATAAATCTTAATAAAACCTGGTATTTGTTTGCTTTTTCACCTTCTTTGACTAGTTAAACAATGTTTCAAGAAGGATATAAGCCTCTAACAGTTCTGCTGCCTCAGACCTGTCCAATTTTTTACAGAATGGACTGTTATCGGCTTATATCCTTTACTGACACAAAGATCCAAAGATTGTCTACCTTGGAATATCAATTAATTCAACAAATAACTTCCTTGTGTGATTTTAGCTTCCCAATGTGAGTAACTGTTTGATTTTAACTAGAGTACCTCCTTTTTGTAAGATAGTTTCTCTAATTATCATTTAATTCATGCTTTACACACAATGCTGTTCTTTTTTTGTTGTAGATAACTTCACAGTGTGGGAACGGAACTGTACGGTTTTATAATGTTTTGGTCATTCGGGAGACTATCAAGCGGGGCTCCGACATTCGAAACAATAAGAAGTTGCTTGATGGAAAGTTTGATGAACTCAAATGTTACTATATAATGTTTCTGCTTCAAGTTTTTGTAATCAAAACATTCTATATGTATATATGAATCAATAAAATAATAAAAACGACATATGCATCCAAACGTTTTCTTTAGAATGGTGGGGCTCCGCATAAATCGATCAAAATTGTCACGGAGCAGCGATAAAAAATGTTAAATAAACATTGAAAAGCCCATCGTCACTACCAGAATTTTCACATGTACCTTTTCTGATGTATAGTCTTACCTGTCTGAAAGTTTAAAAGCCATTGTCCAAGTAGAAACTCAAAAATATTGATTTTCTCAATGTCGGATATTTTTATTGACTGTACAATCGCTTGCAAGTTTACTGTACAATCACTTGGAACTTTCCTGTACAATCGCTTGGTCAATTAAATGCAAAAGTTTGGTAAACAAAAATTGAAAGGAAGAAAAAATATCGTAATTGACTTGATTTGTTTAATTCGTAATTAAATGATTAAAAATGTTCTATATAAAAACTGGCTTAGCACTGATATTTTCGATTGCAGGTTAAATTAATGACACAAATGTCATTAAAATTATTTTGCATTATTATATTTTCGTGATATATAGATTTAAGTTAAAACATATTTTATTTGAAATATATGAAACACAAAAAATGATTGCAGTTATACACAAAAAAATCAGAACAATGTTGTTCTTATATCAATCTCCCTTTTAAAAGAGAAAAGGAAATGACCCATTTTTTAATGGTTAAAACATATCATTAGGATATGTTTTCCAATGCTGTTCCAAATCGGAGATAAAGAGGAATTTATTATAGGCCAAAAGCGAATTGATATTTAATGGAACATAATAGTCGCTAGTGTTTACGTTTTGGGCATATGAATAATTATGACACTCAAGTAGGAAATGCTTACTGCTATCTATTCTGCAACATTCATATACAGTTTTTACTTTCAATGAAATCTATGTCATATTTATAAATATTCAATAAAACTGCTGCAATCCAATGCAACATATGTCTGGCATGAGTTTGATTTCTTTGTTCTGTAACGATTGAATAACAGGTATTTGGTATTGTTATCAAATTTTTTTATTTAAGCCTCAAAAACAAATTAGAAAGTGTCGCTTATATTTTTACAGGGTTTTATGTTTAATTAATGGATGCAGTCTGCATTAGGGGATCCGGTGTGCGGGGAAAGGGTGTTCTGGTGGTTGAAACCCCACTTTTTTTCGATTTTATTTTAATTTATGAACATTTCATGGAGTTCCATGG